TGCTGAAATACCTTCTTGCGCTCGTCCAGTTCCTGCTGTGTCCCCCTGTCATACATCCCCAGCAGCCTTCCTTCCTTCTTCAGATCTTCTTCACGCTTAGTTTCCTGCTCTATTTCCCTCTGGACATAAAAGGAAGTGCGGCCTTTGTCCTTCCCTTTCCTGGCTGGAAGGGGAGATACAGACACTGAGAGGAAAGGCTTGGTCTGGATTGCCACCAGCTCGCTGCTGGAGGTCAGCTTCTGGATCCCCCTCTCTTTCCAGAGGTTCTCCTCCCTCTCCATCGCCATGCGGATTTCCCGCTCAATGGGTGTCTCGTTGCTGGCCTTCGTCTCTTTGTCTGAGCCACTGCTGCCAGCCCTCGATTCCACGAGGGTGTCGAAGATCTCGTTGGTCGTGCTTCCGTCGCTGATGTAGCCTGCACTGGCTTCAGTATACATTTCACCCAAGCCGGAGTCCAGGTCTTCTCTGGAAGACACTTTAGTCAAGCTGGATATTTTCCCAGTGGGATATGATCTTTCAGTATCAGTCCTTCTGGGAGCATAAACGTCCTCCTTTGCAGGTGCCTTGTAGGACACGTTATAAACCTGATAAACAGTCTTGTCTGTTCTGCTCTGGCTGGGTGCACCAAGACTGCTGTAACCCCTCGCAGCCTTCGTGGCAGTCTCAGGACTGTGCCACTCTTGCACAGAGATTTTTGTCATCGACTCTGGCTTTGGAGACATTGCTTGCTGCCTGGGGCTGAAAAGAGAGTCTGGGTTGGTCTTTTCCAGCATCAGGAACTGTTGCCGGGCAGCGGAGAAGTTGATCTGTTCCGTGTCTATATTTTCAGGGTCAACAGGTGTTGCTGCTCTCCCTGGGGAAGGCTTGTCAAAGCAAACAGCAAAGCTAGTGGTGAAGCTGCCTTTGTGCCTGCCTTCCCCCTGGCTGCCCGAGCCAGTGTTTATGGAGCTCAGCTCATCCATGGAGCTCCACTTCTCACCCACGGTGGAGCTCTTCCTCATCACCTGGCTCCGGATGATCTCCCTTCTCTCATCTTCAAGCTCTCTTGCTTTCTCAGGTGAGATATTTGGCGGACGGACCCTGCGCTGTTCCTCCTCATCCTCTTCATAGAGCTTTGATGGCTTCCTCTCTCCTCTGTACGCCCTGAGGTCGTACAGGCTTCCCGACCTTACCACCTCCAGCTTGGAGTCTCTGTCTGGGGAGGGGGTCCAGACATCTTTCCCATCATCTAGGAAATTTGAGGGCGACTTGGACCTGAATTTCCACTCGTAGCCATTTTCCACTTTCTGGCTGCTGTATCGAGAGGAACCAAACACATCATCATCACCATCAGCCCTCTGCTCTGCAGACAAGCTGGCTTGGTAGCCATCGTTGTAGTCCTGTTTGTGAGTTGCCTGAGGGAACTGGAAGACGATGTGTCTAGTGACTCTGTCCATCTCCAGGGAAGAGTCAGTATTCAATTCTGTCAACCTCTTCTTGGACTCGGGGATGCTGGTCAGTTTTGAGGTTATACCCAGACTCCTGAGTCACCTGAAGACCTCCCGAGCAAAACCAGGATCTTGCCGGCCCTGCAAACAGGAAGAGGAAAAAAAGCTGTTATGAGATGCACAAGGAGAAGTCAGAGGATGGTAGCTCCCAGTCCCAGCCCCACACTCCTGTCCTAGCCCTCAGCAGCACCTCTGGGACCTCCAGGAGATACCTGTGCTCACACACGTCAGCTTCCCACAGCAAGAGAAACCACTGGGGCAAAATAGAGATGTCTTAAAATTAACATGCTCGATTTACTCAGAAACGCCAGTTCTTGGACAGAGGCAGTCAAATAGCACACGAGACGTCATCTGCTAAGGCAACTCAGCCCCAAAGCGAGCGTCCACCTGCTCAGCAGCATCCGCAGCCCTGGCCTCTGCCCTCTGCCCTCCAGCCGCCCTGAGCCTCGTCCCGGTCGCAGCCGGAGCCCCAGGGAGCTTTTGCCTGACTGAGCACAGCTGTCCTTGCACAGCCCGTGCATTTGCTGCGCACGTGGGATAGGGAGGGACCGTTGGCCGCAGACACGGCACCGGGAGGACGGGCTGGTGGCTGGAGGAGCTGGTGTCATCGCAGTTTACTCCTACCTGGAATTCCTGGAATTTGGTGCCGTTATGGGAAGGAGGCTCCAAGTAGCTGCGGTTATCGAACTGGTGGAGATCATAAAACTGGTTTCATGGCTTATAAAAAGCAGAGGACTTTAACCCACGTAGCGTGCAAAGCAGGAGTCAA